ACACCCTCGCGGCGCCCGTTGGTCTAACAGAGTCAGCATCTTCACCACCAGCCCGTTTTACTAAACCCATTAATCACGACCTTACAGTCCTGTCGCGGGGCTGCAGGGTGAGGTCACAGGGCGGGCAGGGGTCACGGACGGGGCCTGCTTCCTAAAAGAAGACGGGGGGGTGGGCACCGGCATGGAGGTGGCAGGAGGCCAGGATCCTTGCCCGCAGGCTGCTTTCCGCTCAGCTGGTGCCCAGCAGGGGCCGTCAGTGCAGCGTGATGACACGGTGTCTGACTCGGGCTTCCAAACCGCTTGGCAGACGGCTGGGTGACCACCCTCCCCTCCTCTGATGGCAGAGCCGGGTCCGAGCTGGCAAATCGCGTTGCTTGTCTCCGTATGGCCTGGTGTGGACACGTAACCAAGCTCTGGCCAATGAGGTGTAAGCGGCAGTGGGAGTGATTCCCCCGGGAAGCTGCTTAGAAGCGAAGGGCCCCTCGCTCCTTATGCTCCCCCCTTCCTGCTAGCTGGAATAGGGGCATGATGCCCGGCGCTTGCGCAGCCCTCGAGGACCACGAGGGGGTGCACAGAGTAGCAGAACAGGAAACAGAAGTGGGAGTCCCTGGCAATCAGGGATGTCGCCCCTGCCTCTGACCTTACGTGAGCAGCAAACGTCGATGGAGTTGGAGCCACGGCTGTGTTGAGAGAAGCAGCGAAGCCTCGCTGTTAGCGTGTGGTCTGCCCAGGAAGAAGCCAAACGCAGCAGGCACGCGGTGAGCTCCGTGCCCTGAGTCAGCTGGAGAGACAGGCGACCACGGTGGAGCTGCCCGGTGAGGGCAAGGGGCCCAGGGACAAGGCCTCGGCGAGAGCCGTCCTGTGTCTGGCTCTGTGGCACGCGTCGGTCATGGCAGGCATTCAATAGCGCCCGCGACTCTGGGCCGAGAGGGAAGCCGGACGTTTCACTGGACTCCTCTGCGCGGGGGTCCCTGTAATTCGCTTCAGTAGAAACTGTCACCTCAGAGATTTCCTGGCCCAAGTTTATCTCGGGACTTGTGCTGAATTATCTTTCGATCTGAAACCCTCTGGGTCTCTTCGAGACCTGTCCGCGTGGGGATCCTGGCTGAGGCTGGTGCCCCGAGGGCGCGTTCCCCAGGCTTCCCAGGGCCCACGGCGATGCCCCCGCCCTTGGACTCAGCAGGGGCCGCCTTCTGCCTCCGCGTCCTGCCCCTCACGGCCCTCGCGCAAATTAGCGCACAGGCAGAGCCAGCCACCCGAGCCCCTCAGGCCCCGTGCTGGCTGGAGAAAGGGCCACAGCCGTGCTGGGGTGAGCGTGAGAGGGACGAGTTCATCTCTCTGGTTCTGAGAATACAGAAGTTCACTCTTATGAGGAAAGGACCCCTGGTTTTCGATCCCGGTACATGTGGGCCTGCCCCAGAACTCCGCACTCTGCTTTCCTTTAGGATGAGGAGTAAATAAAACTTAAAGAAAAGACATCTGTCCCCATGAAGTCATAGAATAAGCCATTGTATTAGAATTAGAAAAGGCTTGGGGCTTCCTTGGTGCTCCAGTGGTTAAGACTGTGCTCGCACCACAGGGGCCAGGGTTCGATCCCTGGTCAGAGGACTGGACCCTGTGTACCAAAACGAAGACCCGGTGCAGCCGAATAAATAATAAATATTAAAACAGAAGAGAGAGGGCTTCCCGGGGGCGCAGTGGCTGGGAGTCCGCCCGCCGATGCAGGGACGCGGGTGCGTGCCCCGGTCCGGGAAGATCCCACGTGCCGCGGAG